GATTATATTTCCAAGAGCCCTTTCCCCATGAGCCACTGGCAGGAAGGAAGTCAGTAATTCAATCTCCGCTCTGCTCCTTTAATGGCTCCTCAGCAGAAAAGCAAAGCCACACCCCCACCCCCACAGCCCTCTGCCCCCACCTGGCAGAGCCCTGCCCTGCACACTCTGGTGCCCAGAAGCCTGCCCTGAGGAAGCGGGCCAGGAGGCCCTGCCAAGAGAGGGCACCGCAGCCTGCCACGAGGCCAGGCTCTGTGGGTCAGGTGCCAGATCCACACAAGTAAGTGGAAAAGCTAAGTCCCATATTTACTCCCAGGGAAACATCAACATTCCCCACTCTGAAGCCAGAAAATGAAGACAGTGACTCACCTCGTACAGTTTGTGCCTGTGAGCAAGTCTGTGCCACAGCTCCGTCTCAGTGGGCACATGCGGGGAGGTAAGGGGGGAGCAGGGGGCACAGAAGACGGGGCTGAAAGGGGACTACTCAGAAGGACAGTCAGGAGACTGAGGGCCCTCACAGCCCCAGCCCACACAGAAGCTTTCCCCAGAACCCTCTTGGAGGCCCCATCTCAGCTCCCCAGCCTCCTGCTTATTCACGCAAGAGAGAACAGAAAAGCAGGAAGATTCCTAAGAAAAATAGGTCAGCTGCCTCCAGCAGACTGGGCTTACACCTATGGGCAGTGCCCCAGGGTGGGCAGAGGCTATAAGCTGTCTGTCCAACCCAGAGTCCTCCCATCTTGCCCTGGAACGTGCCAGGCTAATGGACAAGTGGAACCACAGCCCACCCTAGCAAGACAGACCACCTCCTGCACCTCCGTGAGCTCTGCTGTCCTCTGTCCCCCTACGGGGGCTTTCTCCCTGGGACCTCAAGCATCTTTCTATCCAGCTCCTGGGCTGAAGCCTCTCGCTTTGGTAACTTTTGGGCTGCCTAGATTCCAGTGCAGTGAAGGAGTCTGTTCTGAGTGGAGTCTCAGTGCTGCAGCACCCAGAGAGAAGAGTGGCTCCCACCTCGTGCCCACCCACTCACTGCCCCTGTATTGCCACTTTCCACACACAAAACACACAGGCACGTACACATGTGTGCACACCCACGTGTGCACACCAGCATACACATGGACGTGGACACAGGCACACATGCACACACACTCCAGACAGCTGCAAGTGCTCACCTACAGCTCTCTTCCCCATTTAGCTCCACTTCAGGCAAGCTGCTTCACTCAAGCTAGGAACCAGATGGAAGGGGACCCCGAACCCCAGCCTGAGAAAACCACAGGAGGTAGAGGAAAGCCCCAGCCGTCTTTGAGGCGCACCTTCCACCTCCAGGGTCGTGGGCCTAGCAAATAGGAAGGCTGTGGGGAAACAAGGAAGCAGGGCTGAGAAAGAGGGGCCGAAAGAGAAGACACACAGCACCAGGTGGGGAGCGGGCACCCTCCCTGGGAGAGGGCACCAGGACAGAGGGAGGCGGGGCAGAGGATGCTGGGGTTCAGCAGCTCCCAGCCACGCAGCCTCTGCAACATGGGTAACCAGATACCAGTTTCTGTCTCAAAGCCATAAACACGAAACCACCAGGGTCTGGGACCCGACAACTCTAAGACTGTCACATGCTGGGCCATAGGCCAGAAGCTGAAAGCTGATCCCTCCCACTGCCCCTCAGCCATGCCCTTCCCAACACATCGTCCCCAACTTCCCCAGGTTGCACGATGACAGACACACCCCTGCCTCCCTCATATGTGCTCGGGACACACAAACACATGCCCCCACTGACCACTTCTTGAGTCAAGTCCTTCCAAGCTGAAGGACTGTCCTGGGGTTCTTGCTAGCAACCTCCAGGTCTAAATCTCCTCCCTCCCATCTTAGTCGGAAAAGGAAGAAAGGTGGGCCAAAGCCAGGTAGAGCAAAGAGGACTCTGGTCCAACTACCAGCAGGATCTGAGCCAGGGCCCCTTTCGATTTGGGGACACTGTAGTCAGGGATAATCCAACCACAGAGTCTGTGATAGACAGAGAGGCAGCCTCAGGTACAAAGGCCCAGACTTCCCTCCCCCTCTGAGTCCAGAGTCAGCTAAGCAGGGGCCTCTGGTAGAGTGGTAAACTCCTCCTACCTTGCTCAGCAGTTGTCTAAGATGCTCAGACTATGCCAGACACCACCTTCCAGACTCCAGGTACTTCTCCCACCCTCCCAACCTGTCCACTGACCTCAGTCACCTCCCAGACACACATGATCCAAGTCAAAAGGAAGAGCCCATCCAGCCCCACCTCCATCCCACACCTGGACTCCACAGCCCCCCTACATGATACCACCTGAGGGTCCCATCCCTACACTCTTCTGCTGGAGCATCCCCCACTCAGCCAAATCCTAAGAGTGGCATCTCAAAGTCCCTCCCATTCAGGGATCTCCCCAGAAATCACCTCTGCAAGTTAAAGAACAGTTGAGCTCTCCCAGGGACCCTCAGCAGCATCTGAACTCTGGCTGGTGCTTCTCACATGAGCAAGCGCCCCCTCCCTCCAGAGGCTACGCGCTGTTGGCGGCTTGCCTCCTGGGCTCTGCGTCCTCACACAAGCCTCTGACACTGACAACACTCCAGCTTTGCAGACCTTGCAAAGAATTTCCAAGCAACTTTGTGGCCTGCACATCTTCACCTAGAGGGCAGGGGGACAAAAGGGTCTGCCAGACAAGGTCAGCCATGAAGGGGTCTCAGGTCCTGCTGGAGGTAGCCTAACAAACTGCCCCCAACATACTCCCAGCTCCAGGTGCCCTGAACAGCCCAAGGGAAAGAAATTGAGGAGCATGGAATCCCACTGAAATAATAGCAATGTTAATGTTTATTGAACATATACTATGTAACAGGTAGCCCCGCATTTCTTTACAGCACTGATATTCCCACCCCAACCCCCCAAAAAACCCTAGAAGTTCATGGTGTTAGCCCACTTTCCATTGACACAGTGACATTCAGACTGGTTGAACGATTTGTCCAATGTCAAAGGGTTAGAAGTAGTGGTAGAGCCAGGATTCGAATCCAGGTAATCTGACCCTAGTCCTAGGTCTTTATCCGCCACACATAGAGCTACGTGAAGCTAGAAAGGACCCCCCAACTAACAAGGTCACCCTCTGCTTCTAGACAGGAATCTGTGTCACGTCGTCCCAGACAGAAAGACCTCTCTGCCCCCTAAAAGAAGGCATAACCTTCATGCCCAACAACCTTCAATGTTGTGAAGCCTTCCCTCTGCCTTGCCATGCTGGGTGCAGCTGCAATTTAAACCTATCTTCCTTTATTCTGTACTTAAACTTACAAAGAAGTCCATTCCCCCATCCTGACTTGGGTCTGGAGGCTATTTCAGAGCCTTCCTTCAGTGTCTTTGCTATTCAAAGATCCCAGCTCATCCTTTTCTGCTTTCAGGGACAGTCCCATAGCAGGAACGTACCAAAAACTGGAGGGGAGGAGGGTGAGGGCATTGGAAGACTGCAAGGAAATGGGGGAGAGGCAGAAGACGAAGCTACGGAGAGATTCTCAAGCACCACCGACCCACCTCACATCTTCCCCCATTCCATAAGCTCCTGCAGCCACCCTGGCCTCAGTTTTCCCACTTGACAAATGGAGAGTTTTTAAAACAGCCAGATCAACAAATCGCTTGACAAAAATCACCTTTCCTTTCCGCCCTCCGCTGGTTCTGTTCTCAGACACCGCCCCCCCTCCCCGCCCCAAGTAGCATAGGAGACGTATTCCATTCCAGAAACTTTCTCGAAGCACTCCCCCCCTCCGCACCCCCAGACAAGGTGCAGACCCTGTTAAAGGCGCATCCTGCCGACCCCTTCCGCCCTAGCGCCGCTGGGAGTGGGTGCTCTGGTTGGCGGGTCTTCCCCGCTGCCTTCCACCCACGGACCGGTTCTCTCCCGCCGCCATCTCTTCCTGGCTTTTGTGAACTTGCCCGCAACCGGGTTGTGTATGCGCGCTGAGAGCAGTGAGCTCAGAGTCCTGGCACCTCTCAGGCTCCGCTCCTACTTCCATACAAGGGCCGAGAGCCGGGGATGCCACCCAGAGGCTTGTAGGTCGCTTTGCCCGTCTCCAAAGCAAAAGCCCGCGCGCTCACGCACGCATCACCCAACTCACTGGCTTCCCTCTTGCCTCTTCCCCAGCTCAGACCTGGGAAAGCGAAAAGAGAATCCTCCTCCCGCTCCGAGATGCAGCAGCGGGGACCCTCTCCCCCACCGCCCTCGTCCCCAGCCAGCTCTCCCTGGAAGCCGCGGGAGGGTGGCGTAGGGTCCCCGCGGCTGCGGCGCGCTACCGGGGAACTTTTGCCTGGCCTGGGCCCAGATGCGGCTAAGACAGACGCAGGCGCCTGCCAGGGCCAGCCAAAAGCGGACGCTAGTCTCCTCCGTGCTGGCTTAATCAATTCTTCTCTCACCGGGCGCCATGCATCCCCGCCCCTGCAAGGGGGATCCGACCTCTAGCTGCCGAGCTGTGTGGGCAAGAGGGGCGCGAGTGGAGCTTGGGGTGCTTGCAGGGACGAGAACCCCGTCTCTTAGACGTTGGCACCAAGAGTCCCAAGGCTCTGGGTCGCGCCTCCCCGCAAGGACTTCTCCGCGGAGCGGTGGCGCTGCGCGGGGCTCAAGCGTGCTGCAGCCTGCCCGAGGACCCGCAAACTCCGCAGCAGCCAGAGTTAGGAGAGCCTCCGGCTCCCCAAAGCTCGAGAGAGCTGCCGCTCCGGCAAGAGGCAACGGACTCGGCACGCCGGTGTGACCCATAGGGCCCAAGGTGGGCGAAGCCAGCCTGGATTCCAGGCATCCTTTCCCCGAGTGCCCGTAAGCCCGTGGGCTCGAGCCCGTTCCCGCCCGGCTTCTCCAGCCTGCGGCCCCCGGGTCCTCCCAGGCAGTGCCCCGGGGTGCGCCTGGCCGGAGCCCGAGCCTCCCTGAGGGAAGGCGCGGTGCGCGGGGGAACCCGAGTCCGGGAGCGAGGGGCTGAGAGCGCCGGGAGGGGCAAAGGAGGGACGCTGCACTTCAACTCACCTTGAGCCGCAAGACCTCGGGTGCTGATCACACTTGCTATCAAAGTGGCCACATACCAAATCATAGTACTACCGCGCGCCAGCCAAGAGCCTCATCCTATCGCAAAGTGCCCCTGCGCCCGCACACTTCTTGTGCCCGAGCGCCCGCCTTTCGCCTGCCTCTCGCCCGCCTACGCCCCGCGCCGGTGCTCCTGCAGCCCGGGCGGCCAGCTCTCCATCCCTCCTCGGCTCCGCTCGGCTCGGCGCGCAGCCTCCCCGACCCCGGCGCAGCGGCACCTGCACTGCTAGCCGAGGCAGAGCGCAGCCAGGTCTACGGTGAAGCCTAGCCGGGCCGGGCCTCCGGATCCGCCCCCCGCAGCCTGCCTATTGGACACTGCCCACAAGCCTAGATTTCGATTGGCTCAGGTGTCTGCCCGTCGCAGTGCGAAGCAGGCGAGCCCATTTCAAGGTGCGTTGAAGTGTGGCGAGCACAGAGCCGCAGAATCATGCGCATTGCCGGGGAGAAGGCGTTGTAGCGTCTCTGCTCTGTTCTGTTCTGTTCTGTTCTCTGCTCACACTGCATGGCAAGTTTCTGGTGAGGGAAATGGTAGCTTCCAACGGGACCCTGACATATGTCAATTAACCCATCAGGTCTGAGGGGATGAAGCCCCCGCCCACCCATGGACCCAACATCCGGTTCCCAGCCAGCAAAAAGCAGTTCCCAGGAGGACCGTGCTGATTCAGTGATGGGGAAGCCTTGGAGCGGGCAGCCTGGGAGAGCTAGGAAACGTCCTTCGCTGGGGATCTTTTCAAAGAGGTCATGCGCTCCTCCCCCACCCTCCGCACACAGACACTCTTCCCCCAGAGCCGCACACCACCTCCAGCAAACGTGATGTTGAGTTAGTCTCCATCCAGCCTGCAGGCAGGGGGATGACTAAAATGACCTCTAAAAGTCGCTCAGATGTAGCATGAGTCACTGGCTCAGCTGCCAAGTGTCACAGACCCCTCTGGAACACGTGTGCCCGCACACTGCCGCCCCCAGTGCGGGTCATCGCTGCGCATCATTACTTAATCTTAACTTTGAGCAATGAAAGTTTTCCCCCCTCTTTTCCTAAAAAGGGCTTCATCCTCATGCACATGAGTCCTCCCCTCCCACCTTACTCAGAGCCTACCCCCATCTCAGCAGAATGAAGTCAAGATGGATTGGGGGAGCACTTTAGGAGTTTGGGATGGAGAAGACCCCAGGAAAGGAGAAGGGAGGCTTCTTATTCCACAGAGGAACACAGGTTAGGGCACTGGAAGGTCTTCCTATTTCTCAATATCCCTCCCCTGGCCTCTCCTCACCCCCTTCCCCAGTACAGTCATATCTGCAGGAGAAATAAATGAGTGTCATGGAAACATCTACTACAATCACCTCACACTGGCGTTCTGAGGCTGCAGTGAAGATATTTGTTCTTTCAAAGAGGGAAAGCAGTGGTAAGAAGCACACGGATCCCCAGGATGGGCTGTTAGCCAAGGAAAGAAGACAGGAGGGCAGTGAAAGAGAGCTCAGGAATGTCATCCTCTCAAAGCACTCATTAGCCACAAAGCCCTGGCTCTAGGGTATCAAGCTCTCAAAAGAAATATAAGGAGACTTGTTTCTGGGAAAGCGCGCGCGCACACACACACACACACACACACACCACGCACATATGTAGAAAGGGGCCTTGAACACTGGAGGTTCAGCATTCCCTGAAACCTGACTCCTCTAGCTCATTGCCAGCCAGAAGGCGAAAACCCAGGACCCCTGACAGAGTAGGAAACACATTGGTAAAGTTTCACCACCAGGGTATAACCTGGAGAACCAGAAGTCATGAATAACCACCTGTCCTACCCACCCACTCCACTCATGTGAACATACTTAAGATACCTAACTTTGGGCACATCTCTCCCTGAGCAATTACGTTAGGTTCTCTTCCTGGGCCAAGATGCCTTTCTTGGGGCTGGGAAGAGACCTGGCGGTTCCAGGCCTGATTGATGCAGTAATTCCAGGCAGCATGCCCCAGGATAACTCTACCCCCAACACACATAGGCACACACACACACACACGTGCATGCACTTGCTTTCCCTGGGCCTAGGGCTATAAAGCCTTGCTGCATTCCATTTGCAGAACTGTTGATAATAGGACCCTTCTCCTTCCAAACCTCTAAGCAGCTAACTATGGCCTAGAGAGAGATGCTGGATTCCCAAGGGCTGGCCCTGGTTCCTCATCACTTTTAGGTATAAACAAGTCAGGGAGGTGGGAAGCATTGGGGGTCAGAGAAACCTTCTCCTAATGATTTTCAGGGTTATGAAAAGAATAGAGCCACTGTCACCATCCTTCTGGACTGCATTTGCTGGGCCATCACATTTTCCTACTCAGAGTAGGGGTTTCTACTAGCAAATTAAAGCATCCATCAGATAGGAAAGAAAAAAAGAAACAATTTAACAAGTTTAAGAGCTTGAGTTGGGTTGGGAAGGGGTTCAAAGGAACTATCTAGAGGGTAGAAGAAACTTCGGGATAAGTCTACTGGAAATATCGTGGAACAAGGGACTGAGGCAGAAAGGAAAGAAAATTGAACCCCAAAGGGAAAAGTTAGCATTCAGTGTCATCAGATATGTCTCATCTGGGTTTCAGATCAGCTCAAGAGAAATATGCTATATCAGGTCACAGTGAGGAACGAGACCAATCAAATCTTTACCTCTTGGCATGTGGCTGAGCTTTGGACCCAGGAAGGATGGCAGCCCTTTCCTGACGTGGCCATATCCAGTTAAATGTGGCCCCCAGCTGCTCGAGAAAGATGTAAGGGAGGAACATGAGCCACTCTCACGAGCAGCTCCTGGGTGTACCTGATCGTCATCGAGGCCACCAGTAGATGCAGTGACCTATCTAGGAATGCTACGTATACCAGCTATGGGAGTGTTTATTATCTTCTCTTAACCTCACAGGGGCATTTCCTTTTTGGAAATACAAAACACTGGTCTTGTCAGTTAGTCTATGAAAAACCTCACCCCGCCACCCAGCCACACATCCCTACAGGCTGACAGGAGCTTCGAGTCTAAGGTAAGAGGAATCTGGCCTCACTCACCGCTCACATCCACAGAGCAAGTAAGACTCACAAACAATAACTTGATCGCTTGTCACTTCTGACCTTCCTCAGCAGTCCCAGACCACTTTGTAGAATGTAGGGTGGAACAATTGTTGGGACAGCTGCTATGAAGAAGAGAGGCCTCTCTAAATCGAAGCAGTTGACTCGATATGAACACCAAAGAGCAGGTTTAGTGTTTATATAAATAGGAAACTGTATCAGTTGTCTTGTCATATCAAAATCCACTCCCAATATTATGGTTCAAACTGATAAGACATTCATGTGCTCAAAAATCTGCAATCTGAGCAGGACTTGATAGGGACAGCTCCTCCTGTTTCATGTGGCATCAGCTCCACTGGGGCATGGAAGTTCTGCTTTCAGGATGGCTCCTTCATATGCCTACCAAGCTGATGCTGGCTGCTGGCAAAGGGCTTTTTTAGAGGCTGCTTGAGCTTCCTCACAACAAGGTGGCTGGCATTCCAGTAGAACTGGGTAAAAGACATATCACCCTTTATGTCCTAGCCTTGGAAGACACGTAGCAGTCTCTCTTTCTCTCATTGTAAGAAGGGTTTTTGGAATGGGGGACGGCACACGTAGGAGGGTTGCAGCCACTTTTGACACAATTTACCATGAAAACAGTCTTCAAAAATTAAAGCAAAAATGAACTCTAGCAGAAATCACTGGGAAGAAGGGTATGTTAGATTTCTCTAGAGAAACAGAATGGACAGGATGAGTACAGAGATATAGACAGAGAGGGGATGTATTATGGGGGTTGACACGTGAAGTTTTGGAGGCTCAGTCTAGCCATATGCCATCTGAAAGCTGGAGAACCAGAGAAGCTGGTGGAGTAATTCAATCTGAGTTCAAAGGCCTGAGAACTTAGAGCTCTATGTCCTCTCTCCCCTTAGAGGAGAAGATATCCCAGCTCCACGAAAGACAGCAAATGTGCCCTCCCTCAGCCTTTTTGTTCTATCTGGGCTCTTGATGGATGGATTGAATGGTGCCCCCCACACACTGGTGGTGAAAGTGTATCTTTACTCAGTCTACTGATTCAATTGCCCACCTTTTCCAAACACACCCTTGCGGACATACCTCCCAAATAATATTCTACCAGCTTTCTGGGTATCCCTTATGCCAGCTGACACCTAAAATTAACCATCACCAAAGGGCTGAATCTTGGAATATTCTCACTTCAAGTTGCCATCGTCAGTCTCAGGGATGTGCCCTTGACGTTTATAAGAGACTAGCCCATTTGAGCAGCAAATCCTTTAACTGTGTTTTCACTTATTATACCAGAGACCAGTCAGCAAGTTTTAGAAGAACTTGGAAAGCGAATAAAATAAACAAAGAAAATTGGATTTATGGAATACAAATCCCTAATGTGATGCAGGAGAAGTGGAGAAAATCTTTGCAAGATTCTCAAAGCCTCCTGTCAGAAGAATTTTTCATCTAGGCTCAAAATGCTAGCAGAACTTTGAAGGCACATTGCTTGGGTTCCTTTTCTCCTGGCTCCCTGCTTCATTCTGAGACTTAGATCACGAGTTGTTTCTCTGGACCCAAGTAGCTCCTTTAACAATCCACTTTGCCCTCTCCCAGCGTAAGTTCCTGACTATTAGCCAAACTGTTATATATTTGTTCCTTGTCTGGCTGAAAAGGGAACATGTTCTTAGCCAAGGTAGAAAGTAGATTCATACTTTAGGATAAGTTTATTTGAAAACCAGATGGGTAGCACCTCCAGCCATACTGATCCTCTCTTTTTTCCTGGTGTTTCAGAGGAGCCCTGAAGAATCTTAGAGAAGACATGTTTCATGGTTTTGTGACTTAAGCTAGGAATGTGGAAAGGAGGTTTGCTGATCTGCATAAAATTTGTCCCCCAAGGGAACATGTCACCATCACTGCTCAGCAACTCCTCACCTTACCAGGGGCCGTAGCTTAGAAACTGTGGTTCTTAGACTCCTTGAAGCAACTCTAGCCCGTG